ATTTAATGAATCTAGCAATTTCTTCTGCTGGGTCAGATGGATTGCATGCAGCACAGATTATCTGTTGCACTTGTTTCCCGATTCCTCCAATTAATAGTCATTCATGAACACATTGGTTTCAACTAGAAGATTCACTTCTGATGTTTTTGGTAGATTAAGTGAATACACATGAGTGAGTTGATTTCTGTTTTAGAATAGCCAAATAGACAGAAATTAAAACATAAAGAGATGAAAATTCTGTATATTACGATTTTAAAACCCTATTATATCAATTGATCATAAATAGGCAGTGCATGTGATCTTTTAATTTATTAATAATTTTTTATTGTGAAAATACCATACAGAAGGGTTGCAATTACAGGAGCAAGGTAATGAGTACATTTCTTATCAAGCATTGTTGCCTCCTCCTTTTTTCCCTTTACCATCCCTGCCCTCCCATCTCTCCAGTCCCCTGCCAAAGTTGTAAATTTCATTTTGCACATTACATCTTGTACATCTCATTGTTGCAATGGGTTCACCTGTATCCCTAGTTAAACAACTTGTTTTTTCCTTTCCCTTCCACAAATTATACCAACATCAAATACAGTGAAAGCAGGGGTTATACCGGGGGAGGGACATACAAAGCAACAAAGAAATTATCTTATAAATATGTTAGAAACAATAGCAAGAAAGAATTAAAAACATTGTGTCCTTATCTTGGGGTTCATTTTGCCTAATCTTTGAAGAAAATTTCTATCTTTGACTAGTATAAAGGACTTTAATGAAATATAACCATAAACCTAGATGTGTTATAATGTTCATTGTTTTAATTTTCACGCTTTGGCACTCTTGGTGGTCTTTAATTTATTTCAGTCCTGGGCAGAGAAATATAATCTGGTCTGTCACATTTAATTTCTTTAAAAGTCCCATCATCAAGACAATTTCTTACAAGTGTATTAAAAATCAAAATGCTTTATTTTTGCAGCCATGTAAATATTTGTTTGTAAAAGTAGGATAAAATTTTAAGTCTCAGCCTTCTACTTTCAGGGATGTTTGGGTATCTTATAAAAGAACAATGTTCTGTCTTGGAGATTAAATACCATGACGATATTTCAAACAACAGTTTTAAAAGCACAGAATTACTTAAATATCTGGTCAGTATGGACCAGATCTTACCAAAGTGAGCTACATTTTCTGCTCATTTATTTCTTCCCCAAAGCATTTATAGATTCGTGACTTACCCAAGATGGAAGTAAGGGAGAATAGCTGGTAAAATCCTATAACTCAGAAACATTTTCAGAGAACCCACATGGTTTCACAAATAATTGTAGGTGTGTTTAATCTGAGGCATAAATTTTACTGACTAAGATTCCAGGGATGAATGAAGTGCAAGGAAGTAAGAATGGCTTTAAATTCTGTTATCTCACTAATCTACTCAGGATAAGATTTTTTTTGAGAGCCTGAAAGAAGGTATATATAAAGAAACAAACATAGCTGAAAAGCAGCATCTTTCCAGTTGGAGGATCAAATCTGCATTTCAGAGTCTCAAAGTAAGACTAATAGTCTTACCAAACACTGAGTTCTAATAGAGACCCAGGGGGAAAATTTACCATAGGCAAAGGAATAAATTAAAAGTAATTCAAATCTAACTAAGACTGGAAACCAGCCTCAAGTTAGTCAAAGTTCTAATTTCATTCAGGAAATTAATTGTTTTCTAGACTGCCAGAGGAAGTTATCAGTATATATTATTATCAGTACTATATATCACACATAAATAAATCAATTCTGGCAGAGATTTAAAGAAATAAGATGAAGATACAATTTAGAACATCTATAGTAGAATCCCTATATATTTAAGGACACTCAGAGACTGAGAGTTAAGCGAAGAAGAAAAACATTTTCTGAGCAAATGAAAACCAATACAGAAGAGGTGTATCTATACTCATATAGTACAATATTTTTAACTCAGACAAAATGAGACAAAGATTTTAAATAATGAACATTGAACCAATTGATTAAAGATAATATGAATCTGATAACTGCATGAACATTCAACATTAAACAATATATATACATATATATATCAAAATATAGATTAGAAGAGAAAGCAAACATAAAATAGTAGTAGTATGGAATTTTCAGCATTGGTATCAATGGACAGATCATCCAAAAAGAAAATGAAATTGGACCTAACACATGTCCATAAGGTACTCTATCCAGCAACAATAGTACAGATAAGCTCATGACAACATTGTTTAGGATGTATCATGTTGAAGCCATCAACCAGTCTTTAAAAATAGAAGAGTATTATGCTACTGTAATTCCTCTGTACATCATCTTCACAAAAACAATATATGTTCAAATATATATATATATATATATACATACATATAAAACATAGCTGGTGTATTTTCAGACTACAATGGTATAAAACTAGGAATTAGTATCAAGAGAAATTTTAAAAAACTCACAAATACATACAAATTAGACCACATGTCCCTGAATAATTAATAAATGAAATAAGAAATTAAAACAGAATTGTTTAAAGAAGTTGAGCTAGAAAATAATGAAATATAATAAAACATTGATGACAATGACATACAGGTCGAACAAAAGCAAGTGACATCAGGTGAAATTCTGGTGTAATTGTGATTAATATCTATATACAGGTGGCCAAGTACATAATTTAATTCAAAATAAGTAAAAGGTCAAATGGAAATTTTGAATTGAAATATATCAGAATTTATATCTATTTGTGATATGTATATATACACATATGATATACTAGACATATATATGTATGTGTATATATTTATATAAAGGATGGTGGCTAGGCATATGAGAAGGGTTAAGAGGGGGGAATAGAGAGAAACATAAGTGAGATAAATATCAAAGAACAGTATATGAAAATATCATAATAAAACCCATTGCCTTGTCTAACTTATATATTTTAATAATAAAATCTAATAAAAATCCATAACTAAATTAAAGCATGGACACAACTGATGAGAGGATGAGTGAGCTGGAAAATAGATTATTAGAAATTCACTTTCTGTCTAGGCGTTTTCTACGAGTGGAAAGTACTGAGAATACCATTAGAAATATAAGTGAATAGGTGGGTAACAAAATCATGGCCTGCTATGTCCTGTCATTGCCGTATTCATAATAGGCTCAAACCTTTCTTCACCACTAATGTGGACACTTGGATATTTTCATATTCTCAAAAACTGTTTAGTACTGAAAAATAATGAGTTACACTATGTATAAGACTAATGAATTTTTCAAACATAATATTGTATGGAAGAAGCCAGATGCAGAGTATATGCTCGTGGTGGTACCATTTCCATCAAAAAGGCGGGGTCAGAACCAACTTGCAAATACTATTATAAGGGATTTGGGACCAGAGGTAGTTCTCCATGGGAATTTGGAATACTAGAAATACTAGAATTCTGCCTTTGGCCCAGTGATCGTTACCACAGGAATAGTTGTGAAAATTTGCTAGACTATACACAGGATGTCTGCATTTTCACTTATGCATTCTCCAAATGAATTGCTTTAAAAATTATTTGAGAAATCAAAGCCTGGTTATAATGATGGCAGTTTTCGAGTGGCTAATATTAATCCTCTTCCTCCTCCTCAGCTAATAAACCCCTCTTTGGATCTCAATTGTTTACAGCTTGAAAGGAATACAGAGAAAGTGCCAGGAGTGAGCGATTGGGCCAGGAATAGGGCTCATGCCTGTGATCCTCTTGGGAGGCAGGGAACTGGAGGTAAGTTACCAAGACCCCAACTCATCCAATAAGTTGGGTGTGGTGGCAAGCATCTGTCATCCCAGATATGGAGGATGAGTAGAGGAGGAGAGTCTTAATCTCAGATAGCCTCAGACAAAATATAATAATAATAATAATAATAATGGAACCATAGAACTTTATCTGAAAAATAATTAAATTTGAATGGGGGAGCACACTGAGAGAATAGTAGAGTTTTTGCCTAGGAAACAAAAGGCTCTGAATTCAAAGCCTGAGCTTACCAATAGAAAAGTAGCAGTAAGTTGAGTGAAGGACTATGTGTTTGCTGACCTACATGGTATCTCACATATACTGGGAGGCTGCTTAAGAATGGGTAAACCCTGATCTGATTCTCCCCACTGCTGGAGGGTTGAGAAGCCTAGTAATAGTTGTGTCGTTACAAACAAAATCTGAAACATCAGATATTAATAATAATATTGCTTTGCAATTCTTGAGAATTCAAAATGTTTCCAATCTCCCTTTACAAATAAAGACAAATTGTTTTAAATTTTTTTGGTTGATGTCCCAGGCCTTTGGGAGCCTTTTTAAAGTATGATACAGGTTGACCCATTGCAACAATGGGTTGTACAAGATGCTATGTCGAAAAACGAACTTTACAACTGGGAGGAAAATGTAGTTGTAGAGATGGGAGGGAAGGGATGGTAGGGGAAAAACAAAGGAGAAGGCAACAATACTTGATAAGAAATGTACTCATTATCTTGCTCATGTAATTATAATCCTTATGAACAGTATTTTCACAATAAAAAACTTATTTTAAAGAAATATAAAAAAAGAAAATTCTCCCTGGAGAATAAGTTTAGTTGGCAGATGAAAGCATTCTAAAAGTGTTTAGTCTGACTAAAATAGCCATACTAAATTTGAACAATTAAACTCAATTACAGATTAAATATTTACTACAGTTTAACTAAAAACAAAAGTGTATCTTCCAGCAATATGAATCTTGGGCACTTATCCAAAGATTAGAAGTAAGGAAACAATAAAGTCACTTGCACAACCAGGTCCACTGCTGTACTGTTCACAATACCCAAGTTATAAAAGCAGTCAGATGCCCTATATTGTATGAGCAAATTGATAAAATGTGAACAACACACACGCACATACACACACACACACACACACACACAGAAGTTCTATTCATCTACAGGCAAAATAAGATTATGTCTTTTTATTTATTTATTTATTTTGCTGATCATGGGGCTTGAACCCTGGGACTGGGCACTCTCCCTTGAACTCTTCAGCTTAAGGTTAGTGCTCTACCACTTGAGCCACAGCACCACTCCTGGTTTTCTGGTGGTTAATTCGAGATAAGAGTCTCACAGACTTTCCTACCCAGGCTGGTTTTGAACTGCAATCCTCAGATCTCAGCCTCTTGAATAGCTAGGATTACAGGTGTGAGCTACCAGTGCCTGGCAAGATTATGTAATTGGTAGGGAGATTGATAAGCCTGGAAAAAATTACATTAAGTGTAATACATCAAGCTCAGAGAGATAAATAACATGTTTTCTCTCAAATATGGAAGTTAGATCTAAATTATAAGCATTTATGAAAAGATGTACAGGGTCATATACACACAGATATATTCACTAGTATATGGTATATAACAGGGATGATTCTAATGGTTACTCATTTATTTTATTTTATTGTAAGGGTGATGTGCAGAGGAGTTGCAGTTACATAAGTAAGGTACTGAGTACATTTCTTGTAGAACATTGTTACCCCTCCCTTGTACTCCTTCACCCCTCCTCCAAGCCCCCCATGATTTCACACTTTTATTGGCTTCTTCTTAGTGCTCTCAGATTGGTTTACCTATCTGGAAACTATGCACTTTAATAAGTAAATATATACTTGATATATTGACCTGGTAAACTGAGAGCATGTCTCTGTAGAAGTATATTAAGGTTGGCTAAAGTTGCTTTTTATTTTTAGTTTTTTCTTATAAATTTTCCTATAATTTTTATTTGTTTTTATTGTAAAGGTGATGTATAGAGGGGTTACACTTACTTAAGTCAGGTAGTGCACATTTCTTTTTGAACAGTGTCACCTCTTTTTCTCCTAGTTTTTTCCCTCACGAACTCCCACCCTCACAAGTTGTATAGCTCATTCTCAACATAGTGTCTAGTGACTGTCACTACTGAATTTGTTTATCCTTTGTCCCACCATTTCTGTGATCCCTCTTACCCTCCCTCAAACAAATAAACATATATAAAACAAAAGGTACAAAACTCAAAAACAATGGCACAAGGGGAAAAAACAAAAAAACATAACAAAAACTTTGGTTTCCATTTCTTGGAGTTCATTTTGATAAACAACATTTTATATGATCTTACCTACATAGCTATTGAGCCTTTGTGATCCTCTCATATGAATATCCCACTTTGGCCTCATAGTCAAGATATGGAATCAACCCAGATGCCTCTCAGTGGACAAATGGATTGAGGAAATGTGGTATACATACACAATGGAATTCTATGCTTTCATCAGAAACAATGATATTGTACCATTCATTAAGAAATGGAAGGACTTAGAAAAAAATTATATTAAGTGAAGTATGCTAGACTCCAAGAAATACAGGTTGTAAATACAACCTGTGTTTGTAGTAATTTGTATGTACATATAAATCTAAAACTGTACTCCTTTGAGCAACTAACTTAAGAGCTAAACAGCTGAAATATGTTTTGTTGTGAGAGGTTAGGAGGAAGGAACAGGCAAATGTAAACAAGACCGGAGGGGAATATAGTCATAGTATGAACACATTTTCACATATGTACATGTGATATGTACATGGAACCAGGTAACTTGAGGGAAAGGATGGGTTGGTAGAGATGGAGGAGAATAATAAAGGGGTTTACATGATTCAAATGGCACTGTAATAATAAACGGACATATTGAATTCAAACCAAGCTATATAATTATTTAGAGATAATACAAATAAAAAATGTTTTAAAAGAATTTCAAAAACCATATTCTTCTTCATCTTAATGTCTAGAATTGGCACTTTGGGCACTTAAGTTTAAAACCTTATTTTCCCTGGTTTAGCTTACAAAGAATCCAAGTTTGCCAGCTTTAATAGTCTGCCAACTGGACATGGTGACATGCAGAACAATAGAAAATAATCATGACTGTCTTGGGTACACACCAGTCTTCCTTCCAATGGTCACTGTGACCAAATGATATCTAAGTGATGACTCATTTGCTCAGAGAATATTCTGGGCTAAATCCATACACTTCAAACAGAGGACATGAGATATTTGGTTATTTTCCTTTAAAATTATACCAAATGGCCTGGTGTAGGTAGCTCACACCTGTAATCTTAGCAACTCAAAAAACCCAGATCTGAGAATCACAGTTTGAAGCCAGACCCACAGGAAAAGTCAATGAGATTATTTTCTCCAGTTAACTACCAGAATATCAGAGGTAGTGCTCAAAGTGATAGAGTGGTAGCCTTGAGTATAAAAGCTAATGGACAGTACCTCGGCCTTGTGTTCAAGACCCAGAACCAATGACGAAAACAAAAATAATCCAAAGAACAACAACAAAAAAAAAACTAAACCAAATGGAAGGGAAGAGAAACCCAAATTCTGTGCTCTTCTACAATCTATATTTAAGGATCCCTTTGGCAAAATGTGAGGTGTTGGGGCTTAATACAAAGTAAGACATGAGTAAATCTCTTGTTCCACTTAATAAACAAGTTGTTTCCTAAATTGGCTCTGTTACTGGCCACCCAGGCCTCTCAATCCACAAATAACTGAAGATTACTACATGATATTTCCTCTCAGCAGAAATACTGAAGGTTATACGTAGTATAAAAACATATGCCAAGCCTTCTCCCAAAGGGAGTTTTATGGTGGTCTAGAAAAATGTCCACAGATACATAGGTGCTAACACATATTAGTTCCAGTGTTTCTATAAATAAAACAAATTTCTCAAGACCATCCCTCTGCAAATCAAACTATATTTACCTCGTGGATGAAAATGGCCAGTTGGGCAGAATTTGTATTCTGTTGTCTTATCACAAACCAGAGGGAAATAATAATAATAATCTACAGAATTCTTCAGAGTTGTTCTTTTTTTCAGCGTTGTTTGTTGTCCGTAGTCTGATCGAACTTCTTCAAGACAAACTAAGACTCTATCTGGTACCATTAATTCCACAGAGGCCACCAATTTTCACAAACTCTTCACACACCCTTCCTCTACATGAAGCCTCAACATCTTTGCCTTAGCTTGCTCATTCTATAACAACGGAATAACATTGTTTCTGTTCCAATGAGGAGCAGTGAACATGACCTGTTGTGAATCCAAATGATGCTGAAAAGCATCATTTTATCATCAAGTTCCATTTGCTCTCTCAATTCATCAAGCTTAGAATATTTTGAGCCGTAAATGAAGCCCCAGATTGAATTCCCCCCGCCCCCGCTCCACTGTTGTTAATGCATTGCCACAAACTAGGCACACAGGTTTAGCTTTGACTTCAACAACAACAACAACATCACTGTCCATTTCTCTTGGAAAGAACAACAGGTTACACTGGCTTTTCTTTGTGATCACCATTCCTAGGATGTCACACCATGAAAGTTTTAATAACCACCCAGGATACATCAATATCATGACGGTTTGGCTTTGATCATTGTTCTGTTCTTGCATTTTGGATTTTGGAACATACCCAACTTTCACGTGATTGATTCTTGCAGTCTTTTCTTTCTTTCTTTCTTTCTTTCTTTCTTTTTGGGAGGGGTCTGGTCATGGGGACTGAACTCTGGGCCTGGGCACTGTCCCTCAGCTCTTCAGCTCAAGGCTAGCTCTCTACCACTTGAGCCACAGCACCACTTCTGGCTTTTTTCTTTTTGCTTATGTGGTGCTGAGGAATCGAACCCAGGGCCTCGAGCATGCAAGGCAAGCGCTCTACCACTGAGCCATCTTCCCAGCCCTCTTGCAGTCTTTTCTATAGACTGTCATTTCCTTAATCTCCATTCAGTTTTTCTCAGCATTGGTGACCTTGGATGTGTGGATAAAGAAAGTGATAATATTTTCATAAATTATTAGACGCAAGGTCATAACATCTGGAGGAATCATCTGACCGTACCTGCCCTCACTATCACTGGATCTCCGTAGCTGCACCACGGTGTGTTCATGCTCTTTCAGTGTGCACACTGCACCCTGCCTAGCACTCACTAGCCTCGGAGTAACTGAAAAATAAGTATATACAGCTGAAAAATAAGTATATGTGTTTGTCTTGTCATGAACTCTTAACTGCCCCGTGTATCCCATAATAGATGTCCCTCAAAATTAACATTATTATTATAATTCCCAGAATTTGAATTAATATTTTTGAAAAAAAATTCTTCTAGAGTAATTGAATTTCAAGCTTCACTTGCAGTTATTTTGGCAGGACCAAACAAAATAATTTCATGAGCCTTATAGAGCCACTTCAGTCTTAGGTCCTGTACTGAAGGGTTAGTAGTGACTAGAAAGTCACTAAAGACACAGCATTATTAATATTTTTATTCCAATTCTAGGGGCTTGAATTTAGAGCCTTAGAAGCTTGCTTAGCTTTTTCACTCAAGGCTGGTACTCTACCACTTGAGCTCTTATTAATTGAATAAAATAATCACAGACGTTCCTGGCTTAGCTGGTTTGAACTTCAATCCTCACATCTCAGCTTTCTGAATAGCTAGGATTACAAGTATGAGGTACAAGTGCCTGGCCGAGGCAGCATTATTGAAAGGCCCCATAGCAATGACCTAAGATCTTACCAACAATTTGAATGACCCTTCTTGAAGTAGATCCTCCAACTGTAGGCAGGTCTTCAACTACCCTCAGCTGATTTTACTGTTAACTTATGAGAAACCTCAACTAGAATTATTCGGCTCATAATTCCTACCACATACAAACTGCAGTATATTGATTCATTGTTATTTTAAGGCATTGGATTTTGGAACAATGTATTCCATAAGACTAGGTAAGTTTTTATGTTGAACTCTAAACCAGAGCCATGGAAACTATAAAACACAACCACTGACAACAAATACAGTGAAATCAGGGGATATACTGTGGGAAAGGACCATATAAAGAAACAAAAAAATAACTTGGTACATTATAAATATGTTAGAAACAATAGCAAGAAAGAAAAAAAAACAGTTGTGTCCATATCTTACGGTTCATTTCACTTAACATCATCTTATCTGGTCATATGTACATAGATTTTGACCTTTTCTGCTTGTCTCAGACATATACT